CCCTGGCTCCTGTTTCAGAGCTCAGATGCTCAATTCTGGCCTCTCCTCACACAGAAAGTTTGAACAATTGATAAATTTTGTCCTGGATGTGATCGCTCAGACAAGGACAGACAGGGTAGCTCTTCCCAAGGGGCCTCTCCCTGGAGAGTTTTTTTTCTGCTTCCAAGTGAAAGAGAACCCATTGTGCTTTTGAGCATCTCTATGAAGAGCTCCTGGAAGATTGGGCCACCTTCTTGAACTCCTAGAACTTCTATGTACCTGCACATTAACATTATTTTTAGTGTGATGGTTGGGGAGGGATAGTTATAGTTACCAGTTCCTCCTAGGTGCCAGGCACTTCTTCACACAAATTCTATAATGTAAGCACCACCAGGCCCTCTGAGTAGAAAGGATACCAATGTTTACAGATGAGGAAACTGAGGATTAGTGAGATGAAGTGATTTGCTCTTGGGTCACATAAATAGTCTTTCTCTGACTCCTTTCCCTAAGAATAGATGGGTGATGGGCATTTGGTTATCTATGGGGGCACATATTTCCTGTCTAGCCAGTCATTTTCTCTGGAAAAGGGATAAAGAAAAGAATAAGGATCTCTCTTCTGGGATCTTGCCTACTCTGAGACCCCAGGACTTGACAGACTTCTTTTCCTGATCCCAAGATTCTAAAGTTGAAGATTGGATCACAATTTGAGCCACTACTAAGAAATAGAGCAGCAGAAGCTCCAGAATTTCGCTGTTTTTTTAGTCCTTTCCACCCCACTGCCCCCCAGGGATCACATTTATCTTCTCTTTCTGAGGCCATCCTCCTCCATTCCCCTGTCCCTCAGATTAGTTCTATAATCAAAGAGTGAGGGGGAAACCATATGCACATAATTATAGGATCCAAACTGAATAATGGGATTTTTGTTTTATTTAATTTGAATAAATAACTGAAGCTAAAACCTATTTTTTTGTGTGTGAAAAAAATTTTTAAGCAGTTTTGCAATGCCAGCCTACCAGGTTTAGTGTGGCAATGTCTGAAGCAGAAAACAGAGAGGCTGTTGGACACACACTCATTTCATAGGTATGGAGACGGGTCCAGGTAAGTTGAGCTGCAAGCAGTTGTGCTTGTCTTGCATTTCTCAAGGAACCGGTCCTCTAGGTTCCTACACAGCAGGTCTTCTCTCACCTGACAAAGTTTCTACCGCCAGAGAGGAAAGTGAAGTGGTGATTTAGAGACACTTTTTTTCCTGAACTAACCTCAACTCCTGTTGTTAGTTCTCAGGTGTGAAAGGCAGACAGTGGAGCACAACTGACCCCCACAAGGGAAGTCAGCTTGGGTCACATGGAATGAATTTAGGATCCACAGGAAAGAAAATATTGGAGAGTTAGGAATGGGCTGAATGTCTAAATCCACAAGAATGGTAGTAGTTTCTCCTTTTCTGTGCAAATTATTTCATCTGTGCTTCTACAAGGTAAGGTAATAAACTGGGTGACTTTTTAAAAATTCCTTCTAGTTTAAGGACTGTTACTGAATGAGGTAATAGAATAAAGATAAATCCGAGACAAATGCTCCCCATGACAACATTCCCTGGAATGAAACTTTGTGAGGGAAACTTCAGGTGTGCTGTGAGCAGATCATTTCCTCCATGGTGGTAACATGGAAAAGGGCACTCCCACAATGGGGAGGGGTGAAAACAGCCTTCATCATCACCCCAAAGATGAAGAAAGAAGCTGATAGAACTAGGGGATCCAGGTCTCCTTATGGGATACTCCACAAATTAGCTTTTAGTCATAAAGGAAGGGTTGGTTTAAAAAAACCAGGTAGCTCATGTTCTTTAGTATTTCTTAAAAATACAACAGCCATAGAAACTGCAGTCAGTACTGCAGGCAAGTCACTGCACAGCCCCTCCTAAATAGAGGAAAGGGACCCCCAGTGAGAAGCCATTAACAAAGGCAAAAGACATGCAAAACAAACAAAATCATCATGACCGAGAGAAGGCCAGCAGACAGTCTGGCTCTGTGGTCCCCCCTCCCGCTGCAGGCACCTCAGACAATGTAAACAGTTAATTTGTTCACCTGCAGGCTCTGGGCAAACAGAGGCCTGGTCACACCTGAGTGGATAACTCGATTACCCCTGTAATGCCAGTGTGGTAATGTACACAAATTCTATTACACGGCAAACCTTGCTTTCGGGCATTTGAAATACCAATCAGGCCAATGTCCACTCCCTTCTTTGCTTCCAATTTACTCTTGGTGTATTGGAGCTTCACTGGAATGGCACTGGGGTGGTGCTGAGTTAGAACTCTGGAAGAAATCACTAAAAGGTTGTGAGCTCAGTGAGCCGGGCCTGGAGGGCTCTCATGCTCTCAAAAAAAAAAAAAAAAGGTCGAGTTTGAATTTGATTGATCTTTGTTCAGAGAGGATTGGTTGGAGTTACTGAAAGCTACTTTAGTGAAGTCCTGATTTGTTTCTCCTTCCTTCCTTCCTTCCTTCCTTCCTTCCTTCCTTCCTTCCTTCCTTCCTTCCTTTCTTTTTTGGTTTTAGATACCCGATGGTGCTCAGATTTATATCTGGCGTTGTGCTCAGGGATCACTCCTGGCAGTGCTCAGGGGAACATATAGGATGACATGGATCAAACCCAGTTTTACTGCATGCAAGGCAACTTCCTGACTCTATACTAGTGCTCTGACCCCATCTTGATCTGTTTCCTAAGGCACTTATGATGTATTTCAAACCAAGACACACCCTTCACCAATATTTGTAGAATAAAATAAGTGACAAATTATGGTTTATAATAATATAACAATTCCTTTTCTTTAAGGAATCTATATGCTTTATACATATATTATTTTACTTTAATTTTATTTTTTAGGTGACCTCAGTAATGCTCAGGGGTTACTCTGGGATCTGCACTCCTGCAAGTGCTCAGGGGACCATATGGAATGCCAGGGATTGAACTTGGGTTGGTTGCATGCAAAACAAGCACTTTACATGCTGTAGCATCTCTCTGGCCCTACTTACTTAAGAATTAAAGAGCAAATTGTGCCTATTTCAAAATGAGTTTGTAAATACTGATTGACAAATAGAGAGGAAACTTTCACTGTTTTTGAGGGGGCGCACATCCAGCACTTTTGGGTCACTCCTGGTGGGTGCTTTAGAGGGTCCATGTGGTCTGGCAAATCAAACTCAGGGCTCCCACATGCAAAGTATGTGCTTCAGCCCTTTGAGCCATCTCTCTAGCCTGAGAGAAAACATTTAATAAGCTTTCTCAAGGATAGAACCTATGACCTTAGCCTACCTATACGGACTATTAGTAGTTTTTCTTTTATTTGGGGCAGAGGGCCAGTTTGTGCTCAGGGCTTACTCCTGGCTCTGTGCTCAGTAACTACTTCTGGCAGGGCTCAGGGGACCATTTGTGGTTCCTAAGAGTTCTGAATTGTCTTTACAGTGGTAATGGTACATTCTCTCTGTCTCTCTCTCCAGATACATATATATATATATATATATGTGTATATATAGATAATATGTAGCACTGTAGCACTGTCCTCCCATTGTTCATCGATTTGCTCGAGCGGGCCCAGTAACACCTCCATTGTGAGACTCGTTACTGTGTTTGGCATATCGAATACATCACTGGTAGCTCGCCAGGCTTTGCCGTGTGGGCGAGATATTCTCGGGAGCTTGCCGGGCTCTCCGAGAGGGGTGGAGGAATTGCGGAGGAATCGAACCGGCCGGCTGCGAGCAAGGCAAACACCCTACCGTTGTGCTAACGCTCCAGCTCAGATATTATGTATCTATTGCATATTAGATATATATATATACACAGAGATATATAATATATAATACATCTCTGTGTAGATACGATCTCTATTATATTATATATACACAAATAACATATATATTATATATAGATAATGTATGTGTGTATATATAAATATATATTAAAACCCAACAGTGGGGCTGGAGTGATAGCTCGACGGGTGGGGCGTTTGCCTTGCATGCAGTTGCCCCGGGTTCAATTCTCAGCATCTCGTATGGTCCTCTGAGCACCACCAGGAATAATTCCTGAGTGCATGAGCCAGGAGTAACCCCTGTGAAATGTCGGGTGTGACCCAAAAAGCAAAACAACAACAACAACAACAAAAACCAACCTAACAGTATCTGTGAGATGGTAGGTTGGGGGTAGGGATTAACTTTTTCTGGCTTTGTTTTATTTTGGCCATACCCTGTTAGTGCTCAGGACTTACTCCTGACTCTGTGCTCAGGCATCACACTGTGAAGGGGACCAGAGGACCATCTGGGATGCTAGGATTGAACCTGGATCAGGTATGCGTAGGCAAGATCCTTATCCTGTGTACTATGTCTCTGGCCCCTAAGGGTTAACTTTATATTTGAAGAAGAGAATAAAGTTAGCTGGTGGCCTATGTGAGATTAGCTTCACTATCTTGGCCTTATCAGCATTTGCTCAAATCCACTGAGCTCACTGGCTCTGACTCCTCCTCCTACATAATTTTATTACAGTCTTGCTTATCTATAAATGAAATAGGAAGGTGGCTGACCTAGCAGGAATGTTTTCAACTATGTTAATAAATTATGTACACAAAATGAACTTTAAGGTAGCATACGTCCCTTAAAAGATCAAATTTTGATTGGTGTAGTTTTAATAATATGTGTCCTTTCTTCTTTTGGCAGGGGGGCAGTGCCTGTGGGGCTCTGGGAATATTCCCAGGATATTTGATTTTTGGCTAGGTTGGGTGAGCTTCAATATTCAGTTCTTGGACCGGGTGATGTGGGGTACATTTTTGTAAATTTAAATTTGAAAATTGGTTCTTGAACCTAAATTTAAAAAAAATTTCCCCTTGCAATAATAAATAAGTGGGAAGTGATTGGATGTGTGAGGGCATCAAGTAAAACACATGAGAGAAGTGTGTGATATGGAATCATTCTAGTTATGGCTACCACATCATCAAGAATGGGAAAAAAGTCAACTTTTGATTCAAGCCCTGTGCTCTGTGGCCTTACCTTGCTCAGAATACGGATAAGGTCACCCCGCTGGAAGGACAGTTCGTCTGGCTGGTCACCATGGCAATCCCACAGGCCCTGGTAGTAATCAGCATAGTCCACTGATCAAAGAGAAGAGAAATCAAAGTTAAAAGGACTCCGTCTTTTTCCATGGGGCCGACCACCTTTTAACTGCAAGTAGAAAACAGGATTCCTATATTGCTTTGAGGAAACTCAAGATTCAGGGGGGTTGGGATGAGATACAGCCTAAGACTCAGCGTGAGCAAAGGACTATGGGAAAAGGAGATCATTAACTAACATTAAATATTTACAGATCACCCTGCGTTGGATGCTATTCAATAATATGATAAATATACCCATGTATTAATAAAAGAAGATCAGGCAGGTAATTTTTCACTTGGTTTGTAAGTAAGCAGTACCAAGAGATTTCTTGCCAGACTTGCCTGATCAGGGGAGTCTTCTATTCCATACTTCTCTTTCTTATACATTTGGAGGAATGGGCTAAGTCTTACTTCTGCTTGTTGACAAGAGAGGCTGAGTCAGCCAGCACATGTCTGCATCACAGCCTTACACACTGGCCTCCCGTGTTATCCAGGAGCTTCATCCTGGGCACTTCCCACCCAGGTATATATGAGGTAAGCACCAATAAATAAGGAAACATGAATAGCCTGGTTTTTAAAGGGGTGTCTCATCCATTACAACTAAATTCTGGATGGGCTGGCCCTTTTCCAGCATCTCATTTGTAGACCCTGAACATGTCTGCCAAGATTTATCTGCAAGCCCCCAGGGGAATAGAAACCAAAGTGATCTGCATTAAAAATGAAAGCAACTGAAGACGACAAACTAAGCCTTAGAAGCACTGGAGAGATTTACTCGGCTTCTCAGCAAGGCTAGATGGCAGTGATGCCACAGGACAGCCATCGATTGTTAACAACGAAGAATTTGTATTGATCTTCTTCTACCCGGAAAGGTTAAACACTAGAGTACAAAGTGGGAGAGGATCTGGGGCTTTGAATGACAGGAGGGCTAATGCCCACCAGAGCAGGGAGAATGTGGCAATCCTCCCTGCTCCTCAGACATGAAGTATGAGAGCTGGAAGCAAAGCACCTATGAAAGATGAAATTCTGGTCGATAGTAGTCAGGAATCCTGGGTTCAAGCAAAAATTCCCATGATTTGGGGAGACCCTATTTGACAGGTTTCTGTCTTTTATCTCTCTGCCCCTCCTTCCTCTCCCCCCCCCCGCCCCAGGAGTGGCAGGGCTCATAACTGACAATTACAAGACTAGATGTGGCTTAGGTTGGGGACCGCTATAGTTTACCTTTTTCTACATGAAGAATATTTCTTTTTCTTTTTTTTTTTAATTTTTATTAGTGAAACACCATGAGGTACAGTTGTAGACTTACGAATTTTTGTGCTTGGGTTTCAGTGATTGAGTACCCATCCCACCATCAGTGCCCATTCTCCACCACCTATGATCCCAGTATCCCTTCCACCCCCCGTCCCTTCCCCCCATCCCACCCCGCCTCTGTGGCAGGGCATTCCCTTTTGTTCTCTCTCTCCTTTTGGGTGCTGTGGTTTGCAAAAGAGTCATTGAGTGGCAATCATATTTGGTCTATAGTCTACTTTCAGCATGCATCGCCCATCCTGGGCGGATCCTCCCAACACCTTTTTCTTGGTTTTCCCTTCTCTATCTGAGCTGCCTTTTCCCCTAGCATGTGCAGCCTCCAACCCATGGAGCGAACCTCCTGGTACTTGTCTCGACTATTCTTAGGTGTTAGCCTCCTATTTTGTTACTTTATATTCCACAGATGAATGCGATCTTTCTATGTCTGTCCCTCTCTTTCTGACTCATTTCACTTAACATGATACTTTACATGAGGAACATTTCTACATGTTCCTAATCTGTGAATAATTTTAACTAATTTTCTTTTTCTTTTTTTTTTCTTTGCTTTTGGGTCATACCCAGCAATACACAGGGGTTACTTCTGGCTCTGTACTCAGGAATTACTTCTGGCAGTGGTTGGGGGACCATATGGGATACTGAGGATTGAACCCGGGTCAGCTGTGTGCAAGGCAAATGCCCTACCCACTGTACTATTGCTCTGGCCCAATTTAACCAATTTTGAAACAATTCAAATAATCTGTGAACAACTCAGTCTGTTCACAGTGGAACAAAAGCCCTAGAAATCTCTGGAAAATAGCCTTAATAAGAATCTTAAAGTACATAACAACAGACATGGGACAGAGTTTAGTTCAAATACAGATATTACAGTAGAAGTGAAAATATGAACTTTACAGAAGCAGGGCATGTTTTCTTTACACAGAAGATTGTTTGCATGTGCAGTAGACAACAGAGGGCAGCAAACAAGACAACTACACCGGAAACTTCTATGACCAGCGGAGTTCAGATATGTTTATAAGGAAAATATCGGTTTTAAAAAGACATTTTTTTTGGGGGGGGGCTGGAGTGATATCACAGTGGGTAGGGCATTTGCCTTGCACAAGGCTGACCTGGGTTCGATTCCCAGCATCCCCTATGGTCCCCTGACTGCCAGGAGTAATTCCCGAGTGCAGAGCCAGGAGTAACCCCTGTACATCGCCAGGTGTGACCCAAAAAGAAAAATAAAAGACATTTTTATGTATATTTGAAGATCAGTGCATGAACTAATACAGAAACATCAGCCCCTGAAAAGTAAGAACAGATTTTACAGAGGACACAGTAATGCATTTTTTTGATTAGCTTTGGGGGCCACTCTGAGTGACGCACAAGGGACAGTGTAGCACAGGAATCTGAACCCAGACTTTGCCGAGGTGGGCAAGTGCTCTGTCACTGGAGTCATATTCATGGTCCCTGTTGTATTTTAGTTGAATGGAATTGATTAATCACCCCAAGACTTTGACAAAACTAGGAATCAAAAGTATTGACATCAACATTCTTTGTGTGTGTGTGTTAGATTTTCATATTTTTATAAATTATGGAGGCAAAATTAACATCATTGTAGTTCCAGGAGTGCTTTTGTACACCTCTTTAGAGGTAAAGTGCAGCACCACTGAAGTGCTAATATGCCTTCCCCTGCTATCTATTGGACCCCTCTACCCTTTGTGACTGTGTGTGGCTGCGATGCCTCTCTCTGAACAACCTCATTTGAGTTCTGAATTCAAGGGTTAGCTTTTGATTGGTCAGGTCCAAGTTTTTTTTTTTAATTAAAATTTTTATATCTCACATATGAGATTATATGGTATTTTCCTTTTACTTTCTAACTTATTTCACTTAGTCGACATCTTCCAATACCATTCATGTTATTGTGGATTTTATCTTTTCTTAGAGCTGAGTAGTATTCCATTATGCATACACATCTTTATCTACTCATCGGTCATGATAGCAATATTCTTCAATATTTACACAGGATAGAGAAAATAATTTTATTAAAATGTTTCTATTTCTTTTTGGGAACCCTTCTAAGTGGTGCAGGTCTGCAGGGGGAGGAGTCCTATTCACAATTCCTGACTGACCAGACTCTTGGCTCAGTGCAAAGGTCTGAGGCTATGAGCCATTTGGATCTGTAGCACTAGAGATATCAGGGCTGCAAATGGAGATGCTTGGTGGATACTATAGTTCCAGCAAGCAAACCTAGGTCAGGCACAAGTTAGGCATATATCCTAACTGCTATACCATCTACAGCCCCCTAAAAATACTTTAAAAACATGACTAAGTGCTTACTAATGTAGGACACTAGCAAAGTTAACTTGGCTTTTTTTTCTGACCTAGCAGATTGTCACTGGAGGAACTATTTTCCAAGTACATAATCTGGGATAGCTCCTAAAATAAAGAATATATTTTGGAATATATGTAAGAGTGATTGGATATTGGGTATATAAGACATCTTGGATGTAGACCCCCCAAAAAAAGACTCATTCAAAAGTACAATGGAGCTAGGGATACAGCTCAGTTGTAGAGTGAATGCTCCATATGTATAAGATCCCCAATTAAATCCGTGGTACCAAATATATATGCGTATATTTACATACATATGCACAGACACAATAGTTCACAGGGAAAGCAGAAAACTAGGAGGAAAACAAAAGCCTTTCAAGAACAAACAAAATTAGAGGCCAGGGAGTTAGCTCAGTGGACTGGAGTGATTGTGCTTAGCCCTGAGCACCCACACATGGCCTATGGGGAAGGGTTACCAGCCAGCTGGGGAGGCACTGTGTACCAGGCAGTCCACAGACACTTGGAGTGTGGTGTGCTTACACAGGAGAGGGTTGTGTAGAACAGTGGTTTCTCTGTGAGGGGTCAGGAGAAGCTTCCTTGGAGTTTTAGATTGTAATAAAAATCTGAGTGACAGTGGATGTGATTTAAAGACTTAGAAGGGGAGAGGGGAAGGTGGAGGTGGGTTCCATTTCCAAAATATGTTCCCAGGAAGAACTTCAAGGTCTGGAGGCCAGTCCCCTCAACTTGCCCAGCTCATTTTATAACCATGAGGAGTCTGATATTTTGGGGGCCTGAAGGAGGATTGCTTTTGTGGGGTGGCTTGAGGTTCTTTAGCTTTCCATTTCTCTGGCAGCAGTCTGAGTTCAGAAATGGTGCAGCATCCTGACCATTTAATTAATTCAAAACATCCTCATTCTCATTTTGAGGACATTATTCCATCTAATTATTTTTTTTCCAGTCTGTCCATTTGGAATGAAAAACAAAAGAATAAAGCTTAATGCCAGCATTTCTCAATGTCTCTCCGAAAAAAAAAAAAGTAACTCTGCACTAAATAAAGCCTGGTAATTCAAAAGCAAAGCACTAATATATTCAGCATAAAACAGACAGAGGACCTAGAGCAATAATGACACCACTAATAACTAAAACAGTTATAACAATTAACAACAATTACAATGATAGAGAAGCTAATGGGTATGATCACTGCATTTAAATTGCTAGTAGAGCTGAGAAGGACTTTTTCTAGAGAGAGAAAAAAAGACAGTGTCTTATTTTCTTTATCCTATGTGTGAGAAGCTAAGCTTCAAGCAAACAAAATGTCACAGGGAGAACAGCAACAGATCGAGTTAAAAAATGTTATTTTTCTCTTTTTTCTAGGTATTTATTGCCAAGCATTTGTCATTCCACACTAAGTTCTTTATAACCAGTGAAAGACATTTCTCCTGTAACTGAGGTCAAATTGCTGTTACTGTGGGCAGAGTTAATACTTGAAAACGAGCTGCTGTGATGTGGAAAGTTCTAAGGCAAAAGAACCTGGACACCTTTCAGCCTTCTCCCAAGAAGGAACAACAGAACCTGACTGCCTTCCTTCCAGAGTTCATCCTTCACTTGGAGCTTTTGTTTGGGAGAGGAGAGTAGTTGCAGGATTCAAGGAAAAGAGACTAAAGAGAAAGAGCCTAAACATAGGTCAACTTGTTATTTATATTTCTTTCATGAGTCAAAGGGCTGTGCCAAGGAGGCCTGGTGCTGGGCACAGCAATTTAACAAATCATGGGAAAGAGAGGAAATGAGAAGGCAGATAAAGCTAGCCCTTGCTAGAGCATACCTTGGTGAGCAGTGATAAAGAAGGACGAAATAGTGGCCTGTTCAAAGGAGAAATGTTCTGTAGGACAGGCCAGCAACAGCCACCATGCTCAGTCCATTAAAGCAGACTCAGTAATACCATTTAACTAATTCAGAAGGAAAGGAATGAAAAAATATACCAAGCTCCATTGGCCACAGAACAGGAAGAGCAAGTGCACAGTACTGATAGTTCGCACAGCATTATATTCTTGAGTTTTCAATGATGAAGGTTCATAATGTTTTAAGTATCATCTTGAAGTGGGGACTCCTCCTCCTCCTCCTCCTCCTCCTCCTCCTCCTCCTCCTCCTCCTCCTCCCCCTTCTTCTTCCTTCTCCTGGGTATGTGAAGGGGGAACACACAGCGGTGCTCAGCGGATACCCCTGGCTCTGCACTCAGGAATCATTCCTGGTAGGCTTGGGGGGCCATATAGGATATTAGGGATCAACCCCCGGCTGGCTGTGGTCAACGTCAAAACTGGGTCAAAATTCTAGCTGGGTAATGATCAATTCATGGTTGGTCTTGGGAAATAGGTTTCAAAAGTTATGGCTGGAGGGCTGGGGTGCATAATTTGCATACAGCGGGCTCAGGTTCAATCTCAGCATGAGTAGGAGGTAGCCTCTGAGCACCTCCAGGTGCGGCTCCTAACCTTCCCCCTCTACTATAAACAACCAATGAGCTTCATAGTACAAACCTTGGAAATAAATATATATGTGACTTCCCTCTGTATTTTCTTTTTCTTATTTTGGAGGAGGGGTTCATACCTAGTAGTGCTTGCGAACAATCTCTGAGGCTCCAGCATGCAAATCATGAGCACCGTCTGTTGAACCACCTCCTACCCCTTCTGTCTGATGTATAATATCTCACTAAAGTTTCAGAGAGAGAGCCTCAGAGGTGGAATGCGTAAAGGCAACCACTTGTCTTCTCCGCAGAAATCACTGAATGTGGGTTACTCTTTTTTCCAGGATCAGACGAGATCGGGCGCGTTCAGGGTGGTATGGCCGTAGACGGGTTACTCTTTTTTGAAAAATTAAAAAAAAATTTTTTTTTTAGGGAGGGCACATCTGGTGATGCTTAGAGCTTACTTCTGGCTTTGCACTCAGGAATCACTTCTGGTGGTCCTAAGGTGACTGACTATAGGGGATGCTGGGGATCAAATCCAGGTTGACCATGTGCACTGCAAGTGCCTTACCTACTTTACTATTTATCTCTTTGGCCCCTGTGGGTTATTCTTTAACTAAATTTGTCCACAACTGCAGAACATAAGCAACTTACTTCAAGATCTTCCCTTGGAGATTTGGGGTATCTCAGCAAGACTGGTGCCTCCAATTATGCCTTTTACTTGACACTGCATATCCAAGCAAATGGCTACTGGTTTTAGTTCAAATAGTACAGAATGAGATTTAGTTTTGGTTACCTGGACATGACCTCATCAGAGGGAGAGAAGATAAGCTCTCACCAGTCAAAACACTTAGTGTTAGAGAGCTAGGCCGATGGGTTGGAATTTAGTGAAAATCAGAGTTGTTGAAGAGTCACTCATTAAAATAACCCTGTTACTAACAGTCATGCTGTAAACCAAGCTCTTTATAGATTGAACAATCAATACTACAAGGCTGTGATAGATTTTCTAGGTAACAGAATAAAATAAAAGAAATTACATCTTATAGGGTCATTAACACCCAATAAGGATGAAATGAATTCCACTCCCCCTTCCTTTGATAAGATCTAGCTGGGATTTAAAAATCTTAGCAATTGCATCAGGGAAAAAGCACAGCATTCAGGGAACAGAAGAGAGAAAAGCATGTGTATTTTCAAGGCATCCTTGCTAGTCATAATAGCTTTTAGGATAAAAGATTGTCCCCCACCTCAAATGCACACGAGACCTGAAAAAATCTAGATGAACCAAACTTTAGAAGCTTGTCTATTATATAGGAATTTACATTTTCCTAGAGATTCCTCTCTTTTATACGCCTGCCCTTCACTTAGAATTCTATATTCTATTGTTATTAAGTGACACCATTTGGATGTTAACATATTTGTTATTGTTTCTATAGTGCCTTTTTATCTTTTACCTTTTATCTTTGGAGAAAAGGCACTCTATAAATTCAATAAATAAATAAGTAAAAAAATATAATAAAAATTCCTGTCTCAGATTCTGCAGAGAGAGAAAAGACTGCCTCTGATTTCTGATCAGTCACCCATCATTATAAGTGGTGGGAAGTATAAACCATAGAAGCATATTCAGAGCCCATTACACTTCATAATATCTATTTTAGAGGCAGGGAAAAAGAGGGAAGAGAATTTTATTTTTGGTGTTTGGGTCACACCTGGAGATGCTCAGGGGTTGGTTACTCCTGGCTCCTTACTCAGGAATTACTCCTGGTTCTGCTCAGGAGACCAGATGGGATACTGGGGATTGAACCCAGGTTGGCTGTGTGTAAGGCAAGTAACTTACACACTGTACTATCTTTCCAGTCCTTGGAACAAGAATGTTAAAACATCTACTTGAAGGGCTAGAGAGACAGACCAAGGGGCTGAATGCCTGCTCTGCATATAGGAGCCTGGGTTCCATCCCCAGCACTACATTTCCCTGACTACTTCCATCCTCCAAGTCTCACAATGGAGACGTCACTGGTGCCTGCTCGAGCAAATCGATGAACAATGGGAGGACAGTACTACAGTGTTACTTCCATCCCCCAAGTGTGAAGATGGGAGTAGCACCCTAGAACGGTTTTGTTTAGCACCCCAAAACAAAAGTCACAAACAAAAAATCCCACTTAAACTATAGTTGTTGGAATAGTTAAGAAATAAATTCCTCCCCTCCTTCCTTGTCAGATAGAATGTTAGTAAGAACATTAGTAATGTTAGTAAGGAGGAAATGAGATAAATTTAAAAATGGGTTTTATATTTTTGCCAAAAGATTATGCTTCGTGGATGGGACTGAAAGTAGAGTTGCCTCTAGGTAGCTTCTGCTAATCCCATCAAAGCCATCCACAGAAAGTCTTTCAGTACCAATGTATGAGAAGTTGGTTAAGAAAGAACATATGAGATATACAGGTTGGTGAGAAGCACAGTTTTTTGTTTTGTATTCTGTACAAGTGGAAACCAACAGAAAACAGGTTTTAGAATGGACCCTAATACACGTGCTAGTTATGAGAAACTAACTTGCAGCTCTACCAAGATGCCAGCATTCCGTCCGCCTCAGTTCTTTTTTCTTCTTGATTTGGCATTTGATCTTTGCTATCTTTTTCTATTCCTAGGAGAAGTGGGGCATTTGGGAGGCTGACCACTTCACTAATTCTTTTTCATTCTTACTTTCCAGAAAGTATAAGTTACAAGAAGAGGCTTTGCTGAATGCATAAAAGAAGAGAAGGGAAAAAGAAAGAGAAAGAGAAAAAGTCAGACCAGGGAAATGGAAAGGGAGAAATAGGGAGAGGGAGAGAGAAAGAGAGTGAGAGACACAGAGAGAGACACACACACACACACATACACACAGAGAGAGAGACAGAGAGAGAGAACTCCTAGACTTTTCCAGAATCTCTAAAAAAAGCCAGTTTCTTAATCAGCCACAATTCAGGCTCTTCTGATGAAATGAATATCCTTGAGGTGCCCCTGCAACACGCATAACACACATCCCTCTAGTGACAGGACAGAATGGGTCCTTGGTCCACTTAGGAAGTGTTCGAGGGGCATCTGACCTTAGAAAGGATGAGCTTGCTAACCGCCTGAAACATGGTTAACAGTCTAGGATGAATAAGATGTAATTTTGTATTCAACAAACCTGTTACATATTCATTTCCAAATGTGCCTGGAATCAAATCCGGCCATCAGAAGTCAGCCTCCCCAAGCAATTCTATCCTTCACCCCAAGCTCACTTTTCAGATCTGACACATTTCCATTCCCCTCTGAACTTGCAATCTCCGGGCTTCTCCGAGAGGAGACATTGCCATTCTTTCCATTCTCAATCCTCCGATCTCTCAGCGATGAGGCAATTCCATTTTCACTGCACTGATTTAAGAAATACTGATAGGAAGAAATAAATATCTGGTTTGGCTTCCTACCCTCGCCAGGATAAATCTTGGCAGTTCTGGGAACATTAATTAAATGGAAGGGGTGGCTGCTTTTAAAGTAAAAGTATTTTCCTTTCCAGCTCCTCTGGGGCCTTTGAGGAGGACTCACCAATCCCCCTTTAATTAGCCAGTTCAGTACAGTTTGTTGTCTAGAGAAATATCCTACCAATATCTGAATATCGTACTCAGTGCTTGTACATTTATAAAGCTTTCATACCTCCTCTCTGTTGAGCTCCACTCTCATCTTCTAGATCATTCTCTTCATCTGAGGGGGACAAGCAAAATAAGCATTAATAAAGAGTAGTTGATTGTCTTTTCTTAAATGGCAAATATATGCATATTTTATTTTCTAAAGTACCTATGACCCATGAGATAGCCACAGAATAATTTGTCTAGTAATATTTTCTCCTCAAATTCAAATGTTCTTTCATCAGTTACATTACAAAATCACAAATTATAGTTTTATGTTCTTCACACGACAGGTTTTCTTTCACTGAGGTTTGTTATGCTTTCTTCCTCTTTAAAGAAATAATTGTTATGCTTTCTTCTTTAAATAATTACTACTTAAAAAAGTCACATCTCATCTCACCTTCCCTATTTACGGATTCACAAAATCTCTGCATTCTATAGGCAAAGCCTTATGCTGGGAAATGGAGATACAGCACAGATAAGACTGATAGGCAGGGGGTGGATGATAGCACTGACGACTGCTGTCCTGGACATGTGAGCCCACCAAAAGAGTGATCCCTTTACACAGCTAGGAATAAGCCTTCCTAGCATCGTTAGGTGTGGCCACCAAACAAACACAAAGAATATTGGTAGGCAGGGTCCCCTGTCCCGATGGAGCTTCCATTCCACTGGATTGTTTAGGTGCCTATCATTAGAATCCTAATCTTTTCCCTAAAACCCTATTTCTCTTTCCCTTCTGGGATTCTCTTTTACACGTATTGTCTCAATGTAAGAATCCAAAAATAAGGTGTGTGTGTGTGTGTGTGTGTGTGTGTGTGTGTGTGTGTGTGTTGAGAGAGAGAGAGGGAGAGAGAGAGAGTAAGTAGGATGCTAAGATGCTAAGCCATGTTTAGACCCTCCCTGATTAATTAGTCTTTAATGTAGCAAGCTTTGTTCAGCAATAGCAGAAGCTGGTCATGTACATAATTTTATGTTTCTAGTACTTGGGGCTTGCAGTTATCTTTTTTTACTGTTGTTATTCAGCCTGCCTTGTTCATTTGAGTGTAAGCTCCTGAGGGTAGTTGGAATGGTCTTTTAATTAATTGCTGCAGGTACACAATGGGTTCTAAGTCAATGCTATTGTCTAACTCCAGTCAAGTGTTTATATGGTCAAAACCTCAACGTGATTGGTCTAAGAATTTTTCTTTCTTTTTTATTTTGCCTTGAGTTTCTTACACACATTAACCAGTTTCATGTTTTTATGCTACCTGATGACATAGGAATTGGGCCTTTATAAAGAAAACATGAGTGCCAGGAATCATATTTAGCTATTTTCAAAGTGTGTGTGGGGGGGTCAGTGAGCAAAAACACATTTTGTGATTTTTCCCTTTCATCACCCCCACCCCCCCATCACTACCACACACCTCATACACACAGTATAAATGGGATACAAGTAACATTTTGAGGATAGAATTCTCCCTTTTTCCTGGCCTCCTTTCTTTTCCTTACATTTAGGAAACGTCCCATCTTGCCTCCTAAAAGGGAACTTTTTTTTTTAAAAGGAACTTTTGAGGAGATTGCTTGGGGACAATCTCTGTTATTGTTTTAATTTATTAAAAAATTATTTAACTTTATTTTTTGGTTTTGGGCCACACCTGGCAATACTCAGGGCTTACTCCTGGCTTTGTGCTCAGCAATCACTCCTAGCAGGCTCAGGGACCATACAGGATGCCAAGGATCAAACTCAGGCCAGCTGCGTGCATACCAAGAGCTCTACTTGCTGTACTATAGTTCCAGTCCCTTTATTTTATTTATTTTATTTTATTTTATTTTATTTTTGCTTTTTGGGTCACACCTGGTGATGCACAGGGGTTACTCCTGGTTCTTCACTCAGGAATTGCTCCTGGCGGTGCTTGGGGGAAGTTCCAGTCCCTTTAAAATTTTTTTTCTATTATTTTTCTTGTTATTACTAGAGATGTTACTGGGCCCGCTCAAGCAAATCGATGAACAATGGGAGGACAGTGCTACAGTGCAGTGCTACATTATTTTTTTTTAAGTTTTTTGGGGGCCACCCCTAGTGATGCTCAGTGGTTACTCCTGGCTGTGCACCCAGGAATCGCTCCTGGTGGTACTTATGGGACTATATGGGATTCCAGGGATCAAATCCAGGTTGGCTGCTTTCAAGACAGGTGCCCTACCTGCTGTACTACCTCTCCAGCCCCTGTTGTTATTCATATGAGGTTAAGAAGGCTTAACCTTAAGAAGAGTTCTGGTATGTTAGACTGGGGCGGTAAATTCTAAATCCACAGAGGAAAGAGCAAAAAAACATTCTAGAATGCGATAGGATACGAAAGAAACAAATGAGCTCACCTACAAAAAGATAATTTTCTTGTTCCTCCTCCCAAAAGAAAAGTGTTGATACTGTGAATTACAAACTGGATCTGAAGTTGGAGAGTCACCGTGCCTGTGACTCCACCTCCTTCCCACCACCATTAGATGGGAAGCTACACCAAAGATCTTTTCTAAATAAATCAGACTTTATTGTAAAACTCGGCCACTGACGAGACATAAGGGAAATTAGTTATACTTTATTAAGGTTAAAACATGTATATTTGAAAATAAATTTTACCCTACACGTACTGTAGGAAAAGGAACACTTGGACTCAACTTTTCTCATTGCCACAAGTTTCTAAGCAGCAGATAATTTCCTATGTGCCACCTGTAGTTCCCCCCAGCCCCGCATCATGAGGAATGAAGATGTGAGATAATGGAGGGGAGAAATCAAACATTGGAAATAGATTATACTGAAATAAATCACATTAAACATTATTCTTTGCACATTGTCTCCAATTACTTGCCCACTTCCTTCCTGAGCTGGGAAGCAATTCCTTTTCTGACATGGGTTTAATTTCATGGGATCGAAACATTAAAAGGACAGTTGGTACATTCTCAGATTCCGAGAGACCCCCGTAATTTGGAAAGAGAGCTGCTCTTTTGCTGATCTCAAACAACTTCATCACAAAGACCAATAATTTGCTGTGCTTAGGCACTTTTGCAGAGAGGCTCTATCCTACCTCTGCCGTCTGTGCGCAGATGTCTCTTCCTCCCAATTCTAATCAATGTAAATTGGGTCAGATCTCCGCTGTGAATTACAAATTGGATCCGAAGTTGGAGGGTCACCGTGCCTGTGACTCCACCTCCTTCCCACCACCATTAGATGGGAAGCTACACCAAAGATCTTTTCTAAATAAATCAGACTTTATTGTAAAACTCGGCCACTGACGAGACATAACCTCATTAGCATTGATTTTAAAATAAATTATTGAAAGTGGCTAGCCTGCTCTTTGCATTTGTAAAATAGGAGAATGTAAATGTATTTGCAATGATAAAAATGAAAACTAAACCTTGGTCCCTTTATCCTTTCAGGCAAAGGCACTTAATCTAGTCATGATACAAAAATAGAAGGAAAAAAAAAGAAGAGTCTGTTTTTATGCAGTTCAATTCCAGACCAGATACTCTTGATTTCTATTGTGCCTGTGGAATCACCTTAGAAAGAAAGCAGAACCTTGGTCAGAGGTCTGAAAGCTCAGTCATCTCTGGCATTAAGCAGTGGATATGAATGGGGAAGCTCCAGTTCCACATTTAGCCTAGTGTAGTCCTTCTTGCAAGGATGGAAGCAGACTCTAGTCAAGAAGCCTAGCTTTGTGCCTCTGGGCCTTGGACAATATGGTTTTGGGGTACCATCATATGGTAAGGAGCAAAACTTCCTGCTGCCTTTTCCCAGATTGAAATGGCCTGCTACCCAATTGGTACCCAGATTCTTGCAGGTCTTTCAGTGAAATTAGAGTGGTATCTATTTGAGTCCAAAGTCAAGAAAACTGATCATAGGGCAACAGGAAAAAAAGTTTTTGCTCACAAAATGGGGGGTGGGGTGGGGTGGGTTAAATGGTCCAATTTTTTTTCTGTTTTGGTTTTTGTGCCATACTTGATCATGTTCAGGGCTTATTCCTGGCTCTGTGCTCAGAGACCATGTCTGGGGGATGCTCAGAAGACTTTATGAGATGCTGGGGATTGAACCCAGGCAGACTATGTGCAAGGCAAGTACTTTACACATCTTACTATATCTCTGGACCAAAATTTCTCATTTTTATTAATCCTAAAGGTGAGGCTCTGATTTTTAAAGTTATTAATTTGAAAAGCATTTTTTTAAGATTACAGAGCTTGTTGAATTTCTTTATAAGAATATGGTTAGGGATTTTAGCATTTCATCTGCTGAAATACATCTTCATTTAAGAGAGAATTAAAATTTATGTGCTACTTCAACTTTAAACAGTAATAGATTATAATGGTCCTTGCTCCTAACAGGGCATATGGGACCCCAACCTTACATAGGTTTTAAACAAATTAACCTCTAAAGATTACTGTCCACTTATTACATTAAATGCTCTACTTGATTCCCAAATATCTCATCTCAATTGGGAAAACAGTTGAAGAAGATTCTGTTAACCGTGTGAACATGTAAGAGAACCGTGGGGCCTCACAAATGAGCATCAGTATCCAGAGAATTGATTTCAATCAACATTCTTGGCACACTGTCAGGGACGCTAATGAAAGGCTAAAAGGAACAGGACACTGAGTCCATCCACCTCAGTGGCACTGAGAGCTGCTTCCTGTGACACCTGGCTCTTCTCTGAAGCGCCTCTCTGCTGTTGGCCAAAACTGTGCAGAGAGAGGATTGAAAAAATGACTGAAACAGAAAGAAAGCCATCTCTTACTCCAAGCAAAGCATAGTGAAAGCAGATTGAAAAATGCCAAACGTATCCATGTGCAACCAGATGTCAAGGTGCTCTGGTGACAGATGCAACAGAAATATGCAGAAACTCTGAGTGCAAAGGAACCGTGCAGAAAAGTGGAAGCAGGAAGCATTCCACAGCACACATGGGGAAGTTATAAATCTATGGATTCTACTGCACATCTTCAAACATGGGAAAAAGGGGAAAGATGCTAATAATGCATTTTATTCTTAGTTGGGTATTTTATTATCTTAAAAAATGTGAGAAAGATAGTATAGCAGGTGTGGCACTTGCCTTACACACAGCTGACCCAGGTTCCATACCCGGCACCCTAAATGGTACTCTGAATTCCGTCAGGTATGATTGAGTGCAGAGCTAGGAGTAAGCCCTGAGCATTGCTAGGTGTGGCCCCTAAGCCAATACACACACACACACACACACACACACACACACACACACACACACACCAGGCTATACTGGTGGCATACACACACATACACACAGAGACACACCAGGCTACACTGGTGGCATTCAGAGGCTACTCCTTGCTCTGTGTTCAGAAATTACTCCTGGCAGAGCTTGAGGAACCACATGTGATGCTGGGGGGGGTCAAAACAGGGTCAGTCGCAGGTCAAACTGAGATCAGTACCACGCAAGGCAAATGCCTTAACCCCTATATCATCTCTAGTGCCCCACTATGCAATAGAGTAAACTCAGTTTGTGCTAATTTCAACACATGGAATGCACTGGATTTACAGTTGAAAATAATAATTTCTCAGTTCCAGCATGCAGGAGTCCTGGGTTCCACAGAACTGAATGTTCTCCTGAGCACCATAGGGAACAATTCCTGCCCCAGGAGTAATCCCCAATATTTCTGGGTATGGCCCCAAACTCAAACCAAACAGAATGGAACTCAATTCCAGGTCAGCGTCTGGCCTTGGTGCTGGCCTAACACAGAGTGTGCAGAGTCCAGCATGCCACAGGGGTGGGAGAAAGAAACAGATCAGCTCCACGGGGGCCTGGTGGTGGCACTGGCTCTTCAAGATATTGTCCTCATGGAAAATTGCTTTTCTATGAAATTGGAATTTGCTTTCTTCGTAAACTTTGCATTTTTGGTTTCTGTTTCCCCCTACCCTCTTTACTCAGACCTACTAATTATCACTGTTCCTCTGTCTTGTGGGTCTGGACAACTATACAGGGGGAAAAATAATTCCACAGCACACTTGTTTCCATTTGATTCGAATGAAAAAAAAAACCAGTTATATGCTTTATTATAAAGCAATCTGGTTTCTGGGTCTATAATCACTCTCCAGGGCAGTGTGGGCAGCATTGGAATGCGCACAGAAATTCCCAGGGAGGGCTCTTTGTCTCTCACTCTCTCTCTGTTTGCTCTCTTCAGATCTCTCTGGAGAACAGAATCGGATCCTGTTGCCTCTGCAACTGCTGTAAGGCCCCAGTTTCAGTCCTTCAATGGTCTCCAGCGCCTTACTGGCTTCCAGCCCGGGGGCCCCAGATGAAGAGAAACCTGATAAAAGTTGTCCTTTTATGGAATCCTGAATTATGAAATTGAGCCTGTGCTAGCCTGAGAAGTCATTTTCCTGGAAGAGGGAGAGAGCTCAGAAAAGCCTCCCATTTTCCACACAGTACTTTAGCACTTCTTGTTGGTAGTTCCCTGTAGTTCAATCTATTGCAAATGAGATCTTAACCCCTATATGCTTACATGGATGCTTGGAAATCCCACAAGATGCCAACCTTGAAGCCATATTTCTCAGGACCAATGCTTTAGTGGTCTTGGTTGCAAATCTCCAGTGATCTGTGTTTCCCCCATGGGAAGGAAAGTGCTAACCATGGACCAAATGATCCTAACCTGTGATCATTGTGATGGGGTGCATTCAATTATATGGCCTATGCATTCTTCTGATGAGGAGAAAACACTTTTGAATAGACTTGGTATGTGTTAGAGGCATTTTTCTCTCTACGAGGCAATGCATAGAAACAAGAATCTGAAAGGGAGATTACTAGTCAGCCTTCCCCACCGAGACAAGAAGGCTTAGGCTTAGGTAGGGCTTATCCAGAGGAGGAAAAAGTAGCAGAACCGTCAGTGCTAAACATTCTCTACAAAACACATTTACCTTTAATGAATGTTAAATGGAATTGCAACTCTTGATGGAGTTGCAATGCAACGTTTCTGTTGGCTGTCCCTCCACCCAGCACCCATCCTTGCTGTAAAAATGGGCCTGAGCAGAAGGTGTGCTCCAGATTCCATCTACTCAGGATCTACAGTATCACCTGCTTCCTACACAGAGTTGACAATGTCCACTGGACTATGTCCGGTTTGGTGGGTGGAGGTAGAGAAGTAGCTGTCCCTCAAGTCTTTCAGGAGGTGCCACTTGCTACTTCAACACCACCAAATTAGTAAATAATCAGCTTTGATTGAGCACTCTGTGTTCCAAAGATCGCACACACATGAGTTCTGGACTTCTCACAGCTTCCCTCTAAGATCTACAACTATGGTCCCTATGTGACAGGTGTGGAAATCAGGGAGAGACCAGCAAGCCTGCTCCAGATCTCACAGCTCGAGGTGGCAGAGTTGTCCATCCTGACTGAGAGCCTGAACTTTGACCTGTGATCCCATGCCATCTCTCCCAGGCTGCTTTCTGTGGTTGGTCCTGTGAGCTGGTGGCAGAGGGGAGACAGTATTAGAAGTCCTCATGTTCCCTCTCAGCTTTACTAGGGCTGATAGTATGGTATGTACAGCAATTTCAGAAGCAACAAGTTGAGTGGACTGGAAAGGCAGCTGGCGGGTGGGAGATTTGTGGCTGGAATATTTATAATGCAAATAAAAGCCAGTGTTTCATACTTTAAGGGCTGTCTCTAGAAACCTGATGGGGAGAAGCTTTGGGAAAGAACTGTTGGCTGGGCCTGGCTTCATCCTTTGGAAATTCAGAAGCAAGTTAGCTGCTGCTTCCCTAAGCTGTAGAAAGGGATTAGAATCTACTGTGTGACGGTCCTCATGTCCAAGGGACAGGTACTATGAGCCTAAGCTAAGTTGCTTTCCTGGAAAGGGGAGATCTGTTCTTTGCTTTTGGAGACCAAAGTAAGTTGCTGACTAGTGTAGGCAGGACTTTGGAGGGGTGGGGGGAGGAGAGGAAGTATGGAGAAATCCAGTGCACATTCATGGACCATCTGGGTGAGATGATGGTTCTTATTTGCCAAGGCCTCATCCCCTTTACCCTCCTTTGCTTTGCAGTGCTGAGCATTAGTGCCTCCACCTCGCCTCTTTGAGAAGGGAACATGGTACAGGAAAAGGCCCTTCTTTGCTCCCAAGAAGGCTGAGTGTTTCAGTGAGGTTTTCCCAGAGCCATTTTTTCCACAGTTGGAACCCACAGTGGTGTGTCACCTGGATATTTCCCCAAGCCTGGGCAGGAGTGAGTAGAATGTGAGCTCACTAGGAAGATTCTGGCCAAGTTGGGGAGTACATCTCCTTTTAGGGAGTGTTGTGAATTAGAGCCATTTCTGCACCCTGCTGTTGCAATGGAGCAGACTGTGAAAGGGAAGATTCTCAGAGGAGCTGTGTTTTAATGTAGCAATTTGATTCAATTTTCCACTCTATAAAATTACCCATCACTGCTCGTTGCTTTCTAACAGACACCTTCACTCTTAATTTAACAATCCTATCGAATTCTGCCAGGGAAATTGGAAAAATTTATCACCTGTGAAATTTTATTTTCCTTTGGTTGTATCTGTTTTTGTAAAACTTCATTAACGACGATGACTTGCTGAGGAAATTATCATTTTTTTTTTTAACTTCAGACACAAGAAATGGCTCGACCTCAACCAAGATATCATTTGCATAATAAAACACAACAAAAAGGCTGGGGAAGTTGGGACCGGCAAAGGCCAGACATGCTGGGAGAAGGAGGATCTCCTGGGTGGGTGGCTGAGGTCCCAGGTAGGAGACATGAGGCCACAGCCTGTGACTCCTCTCTGGGTGATGACGTGGCTTTCCCCACCCCTCCGCGACCCCACCCCAGGGAGAGACAAACGCAGCGCTAATGGAGTTGCAATCTTTTCTTCAGAAGCCTCAGAAATACAAGTTGTTGACTGACAATGCTTTTTTTTTTTTTTTTCAGCTGGCATCTCTATCTTCAGGAGCCTGAGTGTTAAATTCACCTTAGTTCCTAGGTTTATCGGGGATTGAGGTTTAAATTGCTATAAATTTAGGCTTAACTTGAATTTCTCAGCAGAGCACTGAACTCCTGGCAAATTTCCACGGGAGCGATCTTTTTGAATGGACTAGGAGATTCAGCATTCCTGTGGTCTAACTACCTCACAATTAAAAGGCTCAGGCTTTGGTTTTCTACAGTCTGACCCCCACTGTTCAACAGCTGCTGTCTCCCTATAAGAAGAAGTTAGGCAGAGGCAGTGATGACTATACATTTTTTTTTTTTTGAGATGCCAGATCTCAGCCTTTGGAAAAAAAGCATGGATGGTAGACTTGTCTTATCAGGGTTTCTTGTGGGTTACTGAAAATGTGTGCTTGCATTGATCATTTCCTATAGACCCTGGATATTCTTTATCATTTTGAAGCAACTTTCCATTATTCTCACAATTGTAAAGAAAAAGAAATTAAAACTTGGGGCTGGAGCGATAGTACAGCAGACAGGGCGTTTGCCTTGTATAAGGCCGACCCGGGTTCGATTCCCAGCATCCCATATGGTCCCCTGAGCACTGCCAGGAGTAACTCCTGAGTGCAGAGCCAGGAGTAACCCCGGTGCATCGCTGGGTGTGACCCAAAAAGCAAAAAGAAATTAAAACTGGATGGTTTTGATGATTCACCCCCAAACTCAGAAAACTGGTAAAAACAACATGAGTATTGTTGACTCTTATTTTGCTTTTTGTGGTTTTTCTTCTGGGCCACACCTGGTGTTGGTCGGGGCTCATTCCTGGCAGTGCTCAAGGGACCATATGTGGTGCTGGGGATCAAACCAGGGTCAACTGCATGTAAGGCGATTACCTTACCCCTGTAATATCTTTCTAGCCCCTCTTGCTGATATGATAATAAATGACTCTGCATGGCATATCTGAGAGAGTCCTGATACTTTCATCTTGCCCACAGAGCCAAGGAGTGAAGTCCTGAAGTGGCACTGATACTTATACTCTCCTTATACTCTCTCCTTCAGAGATTTGGCCTTAACAGTTTGCAAAGTTCTAGTCCACTACCAGGTCAAAAATATCTGAAACTGGAGGAATACAATCAGAAGATGACATTCCTCACCTGGCAAGACTTCGTAAATATCTTCTTCTTTTTCCTCCATGGACTCTTTTTGTCCCAGACTCTCAGCAAAGACAACAGGTCGGCCCTGGGAACCTGAATCTGGGGAGTCAAAGCCATCGATATCATCGTACATCTCTTCCTCTTGTCCCTCCTCATTCTCTTCCTCCTCCTCTTCCTCTTCATATGGGATGGTTAAGGAGCTCAGATCTGCCAGAGCAAAAATAAGAGAGAATGAAGGTTTGGAGGTAAAGAAAAGAACAGGGCAGGAAAGGGAAGAGGTAGAAAGAGGTGGAGGGATGAGAATAAAACATGTCAAAAGAAAATGAAACACTAGGTTAAGTGCTGTTATTTCTAACGTGGGTCTCAGTGGCAGGAAATCTACAGAAAAGGCCAGACTAGCACTGTGTCAGGTTTAAACCATCAACATAAATCCTTCCTTGCAATAAAACTTGATCAGGATGAAGCAGCCCTGAAAAGTATGGGTGCACGAATGAGCACACGAGGCTAAGGGATGAAAATAGGCCAGCAGAGGAAATGCCAGCCTGCTATGCACCACTCGTCAAGGAGAAAACTGGAAGGGTGAGTGATGGCCGTGGTTCTCCAGGGTGCACAGAGCCGTGGGAACGACGGTGGCTTCTGCAGGCTTATGTTGCTGTTAGATGGTAGCCCAGCATCTCACCACAGATTTTCAGACAAGTTGACCAAGAGAAAAATGGGAAAAAGTGGAAGAGGAAGAGAAAGCAGGATATGGAAAACATATAACAGCAATATATGGCCAAATGGAATGGTGTGGCCAGGCGGGTACCAGGTCCTTTTGCAACTGTACAGTCTAACTGACCTAAAGTGGGTCACTGCATGGACAATACTGAGCCATTACACTGCTGGGGAGGACAGGGAAGGAGCGAGAGATTTTTTTTTTAATTTAAAGGAGGAACTGGGAAGGTTCATTCTCTGACGTGCAGTACCAAGTGTTCTCTGAACCCCTGTGGAGAGCCTGGGCAGGATGGGCAAGAGCAGTCAGTGGACTCTGGGGAGGGCCAGGATGGAGAAACATCCGGTGTTCATTTCAAAACACAATAAAAACAGTTTGGCTTGATTAGGCTTTTAATAAAGATTTTGTACCAATTTTCATCTGAATGCCAGTTGCCACCTCATTCATATAAGGGAGAGATCAAAGACACATTTGTGGCTTAAAACCTTTTGCTATTATTTTGTTTGTTTTAAAAGAAAATGGAATGAATAATTTCTTCAATGTGGGATTCTGAAAGTACCACGGGGTATGGCTCAATAAAGCTGCTTTGAGTTTTATTGAGGTTTACACACTTAGGGGTATATTACATGCATAAATCCAAGGCACCTAGATGAGAGTGTACCCTGTAGTCTCACCATCAATGTTCATGTTTGCCTAGTTCCAGCCTATTATACGGGATGCTCTTGGTAGACGCAATAGTTTGTTTTTGTGATAGCAAAGGCATAAACTGAGTAAAACAGGCAATTCTTGTAATTAAAGCTCGGATGCTTTCTTTTTATCCACAATGCAATCTCATGGTAGAATGAAGAACTGGGGTGAAAGGGCTTTTGGTGTTTTAAAGTTTATGTGCTTCTCTCTAGGTCTGGGGCCATATCCAAAATGGGTGTCTCTACCTTCCTCTGGTGGCAGGGTCCTGCCCTGATGGCATAGAAGGGTTATCTGATGCCAAGTGACTGACAGACTCAAATTTGGCTTCTTGTACCTACCAGGCCACCCCCAGACAATTCTACCTGGGCCATTGTCACTGCCATGTCTGCAGGCTGGCCAGCAGAGGGTACTCTAAGAGCAGTCATTTACCATCTTTAGGCAGGACTCTTTCCATTCAAAGCAAGGGACATTTTATTGTGATTTGAGAAAGAGTAATTTGGTTTTAGTGCCCAACGTTCATGAAGGCCACCTAGATGAGTTTAGATTACTGCTTCCTAAGTAGCCTAAAACAAGAAAGTTTGGACCGAAGTTGTACCTAGATAGATAATTTCAGTTTGATATCATACATCTTCTCTCCCCAGTGTAAAGTTAGGAGGCACTGGATTGAATGGACTTTGTCTTTCCAGAATTTTCTTTTCTAGTGATTATGAATATTACACACTGGCCTGTGGGTAGATGAGTCAGAATTATATCAATCCCAGGTTGACAATTTCCTTATCTTGTGATTCTTGCTCAATATTGTTTTTTGTTGTGGGGAATGTGGTAGGAAAGGTGGAAGGTAAAGGGCAGAAAAATACAAATTGAAGCATGTGGATTATATTTATGCAATATAACTTCAACCAACAAATCCTCTGTGGGCTTGGATTATGGCTCATAGGCAGAGCACATGTCTTGCATGCTTAAGGATTCAAGCCCCAACACTTAAAACAACAGTAACAAACCAAACAAAACAACACAACTATTTGTATTGTTTTAATAATAATAACAATACTTACCTTTTAACAAGAAGCTTATTTGATCTACCCAGTCTCTGGCTTCAGCTGGATTGGTTGCTGTAAACTAGAGAAAAATTAGTGAATTAATTTGTCACTTTTACTACAATTTATGGAGCGATAGCACAACGGTAGGGCGTTTGCCTTGCACGCAGCCAACATGGCCGACTGGAGTTCGATTCCTCCGCCCCTCCGGCAAGCTACCGAGAGTATCTCGCCTGCACAGCAGAGCCTGGCAAGCTCCCCGTGACGTATTCGATATGCCAAACACAGTAACAACAAAGTCTCTAATGGAGACGTTACTGGGCCCGCTCGAGCAAATCGATGATCAACGGGAGGGCCTTTACTTACTTACTTACTTTACTTGATAGGAATTCAAGTGAGTTCAAAGGGACAAACTTGTAAGTCAAGTTTTAGAGTCAACTTGAACGTTAGGATTCCAGTATTGCCTATGTAATCTTTAGAAACAAAGCAAAAGCATCACTCAAACTCATTTTCCCTTTCAGCAATTTTGCATACAAAATGTTGATGGCTATTAGATTCCAGCCATTTATGTCCATATGCATTCATTTATTTTATCCACTCACTCATTAGGCTTTTGAGATAACTTTACAGAAATCAAGGCAAAGCAAAATTCCTGAATCCAAAGAACAAGGTACAGAGATGGAGAAAATACATACATTTGAAATGGGAACACTATCAAGTACCTACATTGGCATTGGCTAGTAGCTGGACATTGCAAGAAGACAAGAGTCTAAGTACTTAGAATCTAAGTACCAACTTAGAGAAGCATCCAGAGTAAGGTAGAGTGGCTTGTTAAAGTGATATGGTTTTGGTTGTTTTCTAAAATGAGCTGGTAGGAATGGAGTGGTGGGAACAATTGAACATTCAAATCAGAGAGTACCATCTTCAAAAGGTTAGAAATGACATGATTGTGCACGAGAAAGGTAGGAAATATCATCTTCACTGGAGAACAGCAACAGATAAAGCTGAAGGGATGAGGGTCAGAGAAGAGTTGATTAAAGGACTTTAAGCAATAGGAGCTCAGACTTAAAATGCAGACATTAGGTAGTGACCATAAATTCTAGTAAAAGGAGTGGGAGATGTTTTCAGTAGTTGTGAACAGGGAGGATGAGAATAGGGAGAAATTGAGACAGAAGACCAACTATAAGGCTATTTAACTAGTCCTCTGGGTGAAGTGATAGGGACTTAACTATTGTGCTGGCTGTGGGAATAAATAAGAAAAAGATCCAAAGGATATTGTAGAGGAAGAATCCACAGACCATGGTAATGACTTGAATTCAATGGGCCAAAGAAAGGAAGAAGTAAACAAACTCTACATTCTGATTCACAAAACAGGCCAGTCAAGCATCAAGCCTTAGCAATTTTTCATTTTAAATGAATCAACTTGAAATGACTGCTCCTGAAAAACATTTTTATTATCTGGCCATTAGTGTAAGATAAAGATGTGTGCTGTGTAAGAAACCTAGATTTCTGCTTAATACTTATTAATAGACATTGTCATTCTTGGTTTCTTGAAAACACATTTTTATAAAAAATGTCTAAAGAAATTGATTTAGACTTGCCGTATAAATTTTTATCTGAATAAGACACCATCAGAATTGAATAATAAAATTAACTTAGAGTCATGCTCAGCACATACATCTATATTATGTACATTTGCAAAAGATCCTATAGAAAGGTTTATTTTAAACTAAGACAATCTGTTTGAAACTGCATAATGGAAATCTAGGACAGTTTGATCAAAATGAGGGTTAAGATATAGTAAAAATATAAGGCTATAAATAATGACGAACATTTGAACAAAGGGTTACTCAAAGTAATTAATATTAATTAACCTTAGCATGGTTTTTCTCTTTTTTGTAATTTAAAGTTTTTCTAAATTGTCTCATTATAATTGTGACCAAATAAAATTATCAATAAGCCACACACAGTATACACATACTATTTCTAGTATACATACTTTATATAAAAATGTATTTTTGTTGAAAATCACCAGGTCTCAGAAATTTTTATTCCTTTAATTTTATAAGGAATTCTCTTTATTATCTATCATATTACTTATCATGTCAAATATATAAATATGATCACAGTGAAGAATAAACCTTTGTCACCCCACCTTCCCCATGTTCTCTGGTCCCTCAGCTGTCACTGTTCCTGCTCAGTAATCATCGGCACCAATATCTGAGAAATACTTCCAGAGATATGCATTGCATCCACTCACAGGAAGATTACTTTGAATAGCAAGATGAATTTGGAAGGATAAATGATTTTTCATGTGACAGTCAGATTTTTCTTTTCTGGATTTCATGGGAGTGAAGATAATCAGTTGAAAAATGGAGAGAAAGGGGAAGTCACTCCATGAAAGTAGACCGAAAGTAGACTATGACCATCTGCTGCTATAGACAAGGCCCTCCTAGGGTGTGAGTCTGAGAAGGGGAGGGATGAGGAGGTGGAAGCCTGCAAGAGAAGGGTCTAGGATGAGAGTGGCAATAGAGAGAAGGAAGCCATGACACAGCCACCGTGAGTATATGTGAAGAAAGAGAAGGGGCAGGTAACAATAAATGGAACCCAGCGTGGCCACCCACAGCTCGCATGCAATGCTCTGAGGTTCACCATTTCCCAACCCATCCTACCTCGTAGCTGCGCCTATCCTGTGAGGTCAGCTCAAAGCAGGATTCTTTCTTGGAGTCTTTTCGCAGGTGGGGGGCCATCCGTACACTGTAGCCCTTCATGACAAAGGTCCCTTTGGGCTGTTTGCCTGCAAGACAGGAATGCTCCCTGTATCCCTAGAGAGCGGCAACTGCCAAGGGAAGGGATCTTCTCTGGTCTGGAAGGTAAAAGCACAGAAACAGCTGTTCCATCCCTGAGGAACCACAACAGTCAAGGCAAGGTTATTAGGGAAGCTTAAGAAGAGGCTACTGCGACAGCGAGGCAGCAATCACTGCCAAGCGAGGGAAATGCAACATGAAAGGTTATTTTGCCAAAAGAGTACATCAGAGACAGAGAATTTATTAGAATGTTAAGAGATCTATAATAACAGAAAGAAGGAATTATTACAGCAGGGAGAGTGTGGCTGTAAATGTGAGACTCTTGAAGGCTATTACAGAGCTGAAACATTATTATCGGGGCCGGCAGAGCTCACATTTGAGGGGAGGGACAGCAGCACAGGGGGACAGTATATGTTTCTGGGATCTCTCCCCATGCCCTGCGTAACATCTGGGCTAGACGGATCTCCCCCTATTGCTGGTCAGATGGGTATTTATGCAGAGGAGAATAATTAAAACTCAGTATTTTATCTACTCCTCCCACCGCCCTTTCCAAGAGATCAAATCAGGAAGTAGCAGAGTAGGAGCATCAGATGAGGAGGAAGGAAATTAAAGGTAAAAGGAAAGGAAAGGAGAGACTATGCTATCTTTCTGTTCCAAGCAAAAAAATGGATATTAAAAATAGGAGAGAATAAGAGGAGATTCCCAGTGGTTTTGTGTGCCCATGGTGAGGTTCTGGCAGAATAGCTGGAGGACAGGAGCCTGTTGTCTATATGATGCTCTGTGTCCTGTATCTCGGTGAATAAATTTGATATTGATAAGGATAGCAGTGATAATATTACAAGAAAAGAAAAAGACTGTCCTCACCTGCTTGCACGAAAAGAAACACACAAACACTCTGTACTGACTAAGGAAATGTCTTGGGCACAATAAGAAATAACTGGCGAGAAGGGAGCCATGCAACAGTGCTTTCTGACATCAGAATCTTTTTTTGTTAAAGTATCTCTCCTTGTTCTAACTGGCTACTAAAATGTTTTGTTGTTTCTTTGGTCACCAGATTTTATTTCACTCTGACAGCAAAATGGTCAATAAAAGTCTCCAACTCTCTCGCTCTTGCCCTCCCCATCTCTCACCTTAAGTGAAAAGGACTCTGAATGGATGGACACGGTACCTGGTTTTATATCCAGATATGCACACCACTTATTTAAATGCCAGTAAAATTTAAAAAAATTATGACACAAATGTCATATTAGTTTGAAGGCGTAAGGCAATAAAATAGGGGGGTTTGTGGAGAGACTGTACAGCAGATAGGGCGCATGCCTTGCACGTGGCTGACCCAGGTTTAATTTCTAGCATCCCATTTGGTTCCTGAGCCGTTACAGGAATAATCCCTGAGCACAGATATGCAGCATATGCCTTAAAAGTGTGAGATCTGGGGCTGGAGCAGTAGTACAGTACAGTACAGTAGGTAGAGCATTTGCCTTGCATGCGGCTAACCTGGGTTTGATTCCCAGCATCCCATATGGTCCCCTGAGCACTACCAGGAGTATTCCTGAAAAAAAAGTGTGAGATCCTGGCATGGCAGAAAAAGAAAAAAACAGAATACCTGGTTGGCTTATATCTGGAATTCAGAGGAGAAACTGTGGAGTTTGAGTGGGCTGGGTGCTGGGTGGATACGGGAACTCACTGCTCAGTTTTTGAGTCAGGATGCTAACATTTCCTAGTAGGATGCCATACATTTCCCCTTGGAAAGTCTATGAGGAATAAAGAAAAGGTCAGTGATGCCTGCTGTAGGCCAGAGAGGTAGGGTGAAGCAATTACCTTAAAGCCAAAAGTCAAGTCATTTTTTGGGGGGTGCGGGTAGGGTGGGGATCCCAAGCAGTTCTCCTGGTGCTCATGAAGGCCACTCCAGGTGATTCTTGGCCAACTGGACCAATGGTTCAATGTGAGGGCCTGAGAATGTGGTTGCTTCTTGGGCCCCGTGGTGCCAGGGGAGCTATCCAAGGGGTGCTTCCCAGGGGCAGTACCTGGCAATGTTTAGGGGACCATGTGGTACAAAGCAGGTTCCTTAATCCTTATGCTATCTCTCTGTTTCCCTGTATGCCCTCCAACTGCTAATCATAAGAATACTAAGTCATTTAGCAAAACCACAAGACTTTCTGCTATGTTAGTACTGAAAGCATGAAGAAAGACCAAAGGCAAAGGACAGGTAGGTGATTATTGTCTAAATTGGATGTCCAGGTTTTGGAAGAGGAGTAAGAGTTGGAAAGGAGTAAGATGGGAGAAAGGAAATGCCTTGACACGAAGGTGGTTTACACGAGCGCCCTGTTGCTTTGTAGAACTGCTCCTGGGACAGCCCAGTGCTGCAGAAGGACAGCCACTGCGTGAAGGTTTGGAGTCACCGACAAGGTTCATTTTTAGTCTGTGTTTATTTGTTGCTGCCTCTAATTTGTGCTTCTTTCATTCCTTCTTGCAATGATGCTGAGCATGGTTGGGAGATCTAGGGATGGGTCCTGAATGCTGTGCTTGATTGAGTCAGTGGTGGCTCATTAAGTAGCTGCCTCTGGCCTGAGTCAACACTTCGCTGCTGCTGCCATCTGGTTGGTGGGTGTCTCTTGGGCACAGCAGCCATTTGGGTCTCAACACTCCATGGGCCTTAGTGATATGCACTGGACCACTTCCCAGCAGTCAGTAGGATAGTTTGAAGCCTGATTTCAGGGCTGCTGGACTAAGTTTAACTTCTTCAAATCTTTCTCAGAGTAAATATTTTCCAATAGTAACTATATTATTAACGTTTGGAAAAAGTCTGTATTTCTTTTTTGGAGTGTTTAACTTAGATAAAGTAGTATTGTTCATTATTAAACTCTTGATATGCTGCCCACACCAATCTAGTGTTTAAATGGTAAATAATTTCTGGCAAGATGGAATTTTCTGGAGTCTATTTCTTCTGTAAGCATGTTTCTATGTGGGTGTTATAGTTTAGGACAGTTATTGTGTGACCTAAGTGCCTGAGAATTTACAAAGGATTTGTATCCAGGAGGGAAATACCACAGTGCATAGGTAGGACACTTACTTTTCTCATTAGCATAGTAGTAGAAGATGCCTCTGCTGACAACACACCATCGCTTCTGCCATTCGGATCCAAAGAAACTATGATCTAAACAGAACAGCAGTTAAGGACATAAATTCAAGTAACTACCATCACTGAAGAGTCTGTAAAATCCAACAACACAGTCTAGGGTGTTACTATTTTATTTCCCAGGTTAATGGACTGTGAAGTTCTCCCTTCCACTCCCACAGGTTCTCCCGTATTGATGCAGTGTCCAGTGGGCTCAGTTTCAGGCTAAATCCTAAACAGGGTCTGCATGCTTTATTCCTGCTCAGCTGTCTCTATACTCCTTTACATATTACAGGGCCTCATTTCAGCCTGCATTTTTTCAAATTCTCTGTGCTTTTTCTTATTTTTTGGTTATCTGGGCCAAAGCTTTTATTTCTGAGAAATTACTTTTATGGAGTAGGATGAGAGGCCAGAACTCAGGGACACTTGTGTCCCAAGCACAAGGTCCCAAGTTTGTTCCCTGGTACTGCCTGCCCCCTACTCACCCCGTGAGCCCTGCTAGATACGATCCTGGAATGTCTGAGCATCCACCAGTTCAGCCTCTGTGCTTTTTTTTCTTTTTGGGTCACACCTGGCGATGGACAGGGGTTACTCCTGGCTCTGCACTCAGGAATTACTCCTGGCGGTGTTCAGGGAACCATACGGGATGCTGGGAATCGAACCTGGGTTGGCTGCATGTAAGGCAAACACCCTACCTACTGTGCTATCGCTCCAGTCCCTGTGCTGTCTTTCTAAGTTGTCTTTTAGCAAACCAAAATGATGGTCCCAGTCATCGAACTGAGAAGAGCTAACTAAGATGTGCTAAGGCAGTTTGCCCATATAGTGTTCTACTCACATGAATTTTCATTAAATTTGGGGCTCTGGGGTCGGAGCAATAGTACAGTGAGTAGGGTGTTTGCCTTGCAAACCAGGCTGACCTGGGTCCTATTCTCGGTATCCCATATGGCCCCTGAGCACCACCAGGAGTGATCCCTGAGTGCAGAGACAGAAGTAACCCCTGAGTACCACTGGGTGTGATTCCCGCCCCCTCCACAACAATAAAAAAGAATTTGGGGCTCTTCTGAAACTTGAAAATGGGCAGCTTCACCTATGTTACACAAATTACATTTTTGTAGTTTTACTCTTATGGGAACACACCTAGCAGTGAGACAAAAAATCATTCATTGAGACCATGGTGCTTATGTTAAGCACTTTTTGTGTACTAGGACAATAAGGCAGAATTAGTCCTTATTTTGATGGAGCTCATAGTCGCCAAAAATTGGAGACCATGTCTCTTTGGCCTACAGATGAACTCTAGACTTCTTGCCTTCCTATTGTTTCACATCTACTTAGCATAGTAATGAACAAGAGAAGGCACCTGGTATGTTAGCTTTTCTTCTTTTCATTTCCCTTCCCTTCCTGGAATGTTCTAGATGGATAGGACTTATCAATACCTTTGCTTTTCTTCTCCAAGTATCCTTGCTTAATGATGTTGTCAAGCTCTTGAGCTCCTCTTGCCATGTCTTCCATTCCTAAAAGGAACACCATCTTTTTAGCTTTGTTGAAACCTGACAGAATTTTCATTTATTTAGGCTACTTTAGGTAATCTACATTAATGAAAGAGTGCAGAGGGTAATTGCTGAAACACAGCAGAAAATAAAACAATTCCTATATGATTGGAGAAAGAAAAGGTAAATTTTCTTTCTAATTATATACAATGCCAAGATCTTTGAAAATGATCTAAATATACATTAGTTTGTGCAAGGGGAGGTAGCTTAAAATACATACTGATTGGCCAGAAAAAGACTCCAGAGAATTAAGAATTTGCTGTGGACATAAGCTCCAAATTGGATAATCCACTTTGAGATAATCAAAAGTCAAATGAATAGCTTCCAGCACAGATAAGCTTTAATGAGTGATACAGTCTGCCATACACACAGTCACCTCAGAGGGAGCAATAAACACTCTCACTCTTTTTTAAACAAACAGAAAGCTATCTTAGTGAATCTAAATTTGATTAAGTTCACACACAAAAAGACAATGCAAGGTGAATTTGGCAATAGCTACCAAATCCTGTTTTTTCAAACTATGGAAAAATGAGTAAGAACGACCAGAGTCTTTACAAAGAGAAGAACCTAAATCCAACATTAGCCTTTAATCGTAGACAGTTGACATGCTTGCCTCTCAATTAGCCTTGTTAGGTACAGATTTACTGAGAAGTCAAGATTCTAATCCATCTTCCACTACTGGGGGGGTGGATACTTATTTTACAGAAGGGAGGGGCAAGGGAGAGAGACAAAGAGATAAGAGTATACTTCTCAAAAACAAAACGATTCCATTACAAAAATAAGATAATATAACAAAACTCAAAACATACAATTCTGTATTTAATTGATAAATGAAGGTAGCAGGCTAGCAGAATTCTAACATTTTTTATTTAATCGAAGTCTCTTTTGATTTGTCTTAAAAATTTTAGAAAGCAAACAAAAAGACAAACCAAATTAAGGAATAACCAAACATGAACCAACTGTGCCTCCTATAAATATCTTAATACTTTTGAATGAAATGTTTTGTTTTCTGAACATCTGTTATAATCTCTAATAACTTTTATTTAGTGGATCTATGAGATGGCATTTGACATTACACACTTTTTTTTTGTTTGAAAGCAGCATTTTAAGACACTATTTAAAAAACAGCTTTACTTGGAGCGATAGCACAGCAGGTAGGGTGTTTGCCTTGCACATGGCTGACCTGGGTTCGATTCTTCTGTCCCTCTTGGAGAGCCTGGCAAGCTACCGAGAGTATCTGCCCACAGGACAGAGCCTGGCAAGCTTGGCATATTCGATATGCCAAAAACAGTAACAACAAGTCTCACAACGGAGATGTTACTGGAGCCTGCTCAAGTTATGGGAGGACAGTGCTATAGTGAGGGCGATCTGGCTGCGACATCTGTCACCCTATTGATCGCCAGGGTTGATTCGGCTGATCTGGCTGGCTAGGCAGGTGTCCCCTTCCTCCCTCACCGCTCCATGTGTGTCCCTCCCTAAGCTGCGCACTCGTCAAAGAGGACGGCCCTCCCCGAATAGAATAGAGACAACCGGTCTTCGGTTGAGGGTATACGAGTAGCTGCGCTCCCCTGCTAGAACCTCCAAACTTTAAAATACAACTAAAATTATGTTTTTCTTCTAAACTATTCAAACTTAGTTTTAAACATGTATATGCCTTCTTTCCTTCCCTCCCTCCCTTCTTCCCTCCCTCCCTCCCTCCCTCCCTCTCTCCCTCCCTTCTTCCCTTCCTCCCTCCCTCCCTCCCTCCCTTCCTTCCTTCCTTCCTTCCTTCCTTCCTTCCTTCCTTCCTTCCTTCCTTCCTTTGTTTTCTGAACATCTGTTATAATCTCTAATAACTTTTATTTAGTGGATCTATGAGATGGCATTTGACATTACACACTTTTTTTGTTTGAAAGCAGCATTTTAAGACACTATTTGTAATGAACAAGAGAAGGCACCTGGTATGTTAGCTTTCCTTCCTTCCTTCCTTCCTTCCTTCCTTCCTTCCTTCCTTCCTTCCTTCCTTCCTTCCTTCCACCACACCTGCAGTGCTCACTGTTTACTTCTGACTCTGTGTTCAGGGATCACTCCTGGCAGGTTCAGGGAACCATATTTGTGTGTTTTAGCACAAACTCAAAACAGAGTTGGCAGTTAAGCAAACCCGGTGGCTGCTCTAAATCTTCCTGGATGGGTCTCAGGGTACACGCGTAAGATGAGCAGCAGCAAAGGCAAGCTCGTTTGTCTGGTATCCTTTCTATTCTGCCGTTTCTCCCGAAACTCCAATCTCCTTTGGAAAATGCTCTCCAAGGAGAAAATCAGATCGTCCAGAGGGGGCGGTGGATGGGTGAGGATTGAAAATGGTAGAGAAGTCCTTTGAAGGACAGTGATCTGCTCCCCAGAGTAGTCCCCAAATTGTTCCTTGAGGACTAAAAACTAAAGGAAGACACAGGGAATATGAAAAACCAGATCTCCTAAGCTTGGACTTTCTATCACAATTTTTCCCCCCTCCCCTTCTTTAAGGTCTTGTTAAACTTAGAGGCACAGCTTCTCGTTAAAGATGCCGAGAGTCTGAATCATAAAAGACATGTTAAACGTTCTATTAGAATTCAAACCTCCTTTTTAAATGCAAATCTAAATGCCATTTTATGGAACATCTATAATTATGAAAATGGGAAGACATTGCCTCGTGTGTGGGGAGAGTCTGAGTATGAATATTACATTAATGTGCCCACACCAGCTCACTGATCCTGCTGGCAGGAGCATAAAAAATGCTTGAGTGAAACTTTTATTTAGATGTTAAGACTCCAGGCCCCAGCGGGGTGACGGAGACAGTCCCTGTGAGTTGCCATCAGAGAGAGAGTTTGAATTGAATTACCCAGGGGGGAAGGAAGTAGTGATGAGCACTGCTTCGCTTATTTAATTTCATTTACTTTCAGTACATTATCAGCATGAGGCTCTTCTCTCCCCACCAAACGAAACCCAAGAATGCTACCACCAAGAAAACAAAAACATCATGCAGCGGAGATGTTCAAGCTCTAAGTCACTAATTCTAGGAGAGGAGGGACAGCCCCGTCACCACCTTCTCTCCCCAGGAACCACACTGGGTTTGCTAAAACTGGATCCTGAATGAGTTCTTGAATCTTCTCTGTTGGGCCTTCACCAACAAGATTCTGAAGAGAAGACTGCTGGCAATTTGTAAATGTGCTGTGTTTTTGTACAATGTGTTACGCAGATATCTTCTGTGCTGATGAACTAGCTCTCTCACCTGATTTCCTTTATGGCCAGGAGGGAAATGGCACTGGGGTGATGGTTGGGGAGGTAACAGAAAAATATAAGAGTATAAAATATAAACAAATTAGTATCTATTCTTCTTTTTTGTTTGTTTTGGGGCCACACCCAGCAATGCTTAGGGGTAATTCCTGGCTTGGCACTCAGGGGGACGATATGAGATGCCTGGGATCAAACCAGGGTCAGCCACATGCAAAGAAAGCATCCTATCTGCTGTACTATGATTCTGGCCCCCAAATCAATATCTATTTTATTGATTACCTTTTAGGAGCAAGGTATTGTGTGGTGAATACAACAAATTTGTTCTCAGTATTAAGTTGAGTTTGAGCTCAACCTCAGTTTTCTGATTATCAACCAAATCCAAATAATCAAGATGGGAAGGCATCATCATAATCAATCTATCTCCTCTTTCAGTGATATCTCAGGGTTCTACTGATCAGGAACTAGTGATCCTGCAGATGCCGAACCTTAGTCAGGGTTCTGGGGAGATGAGACTGAAGGAATCTTAAATGCCTGAATCTACAACTGCCGGCAAATGAACAGATCTTCAGAGCCACTTAAACCTAATAGAAAGTATGTAAATGCTTTGCGGGATGATAATAAAACCAGAAAGAAGTTGCAAACAATTGCATGAATTGCTATTTTAAGGCAAAAACATTTATATTTAAGTAGACCATAAAAAAACAGAGGCTTTTGGTCTATTACCTGAAAAAGAAGAGACATCACCACCTTAATGAAAAAAGCAGAAATGATTTAGATTTATTGGGAATAGAAGTCCCTTTTGGATAAATCCAAAGGTGTATCACATTATATCAGCACAAAACAGAATTACATTAGTGTCATAATCTCTACCACTACACCTAACAAAATCTCTCAGCAGAGCTCATATAGAGAAAAGATTCACTTAGCTGAAGAATGTGGGGCCATAAAGATAAGATCAGCAGAGAAGTGTGTTCCCCAGAAGTTATGGTCACCCAACTTTCATGGCAGATGAAGATAAAAGAAACTCTCAGGCATCCTTCTTTTCTCATTCAGAAACCTTTAAACCCTGTATTCCACCCACACCCATTTCTGTAATAAAAAATGACAGAGTAGGATTCCATCTCTCAAAGCTAAACATGACTTCTCAGTCAACTATGCACAGCTACAGCAATGGGGACCCTGTGTGGTGTGATGCATTTCCATAAAGCAGTCAATAAAAAGACACGGGAGCTTATGTGAGTCACGGCCTATTTAATCAGTTGTGTTCTAGCCCACTGAGAAAAGAGAATTGGAGAAATCAGTTGGCAACACCACAGCACAAGGCTAATAGCACAAGAGGACACATGATTTTAGCTGCAAAGAGGCAGCAGCCCCTGCAGAACAAACCAGGTCCTCACTAACTTTCCTGGCAGGTAGATGGTTCGGTCTCTTGCTCAATCAACCTGATATAAAAATCAACTATTTAAAAAAAATTTTTTTTAAACAACCTTTTATTTATTTATTTATTTGGGCTGGAGCGATAGCACAGTGGGCAGGGCGTTTGCCTTGCACGCAGCAAACATGGCCGACCCGAGTTCGATTCCTCCCCCCTCTCGGAGAGCCCGGCAAGCTACCTAGATTATCTTGCCCGCATGGCAAAGCCTGGCAAGCTCCCCATGACGTATTCGATATGCCAAACACAGTAAAAATAAAGTGTCATGATGGAGACGTTACTG